TAGATCTCTCCAATACTATTTCCTTTCATCTGAACTAAAAATTAGAAACTTACTTTCATCTGATCATACTACCCTTTACTAATCTTCTATAGTCTAATCATAATACTTTTTAGCAAAGTTTTTTTAAGCAATTCTATATCATTTTAGAAGTAACAGTTTTTTCTTTTTAAATCTAGCTGCAAGACCTTGCCTTTTTAATGAGCATCAAATTGTATTTGCAGAAACAATAGTATTTTGTTAAAAATTAATTTTTTTGAACTTGAATTGCATTTGAACATTCACTCAACTTAATAAGTCTAACAACATTTTGATCATGATGTAGAAAAAAATATTCAAATTTTTTCAAACTTATTCAACCTATTCAAATATAAAAATAAAAATGTAAAATTTTTTAAATTTGTATTTTTTTAATAACATATTTTTTATTTGTTATGTTTAAATTAGCTATAGAGGAAAATAGTAAGTATGTTAATAATACTTAAAATATATCAAAATGATAAAAAACAAACAAAAAGAGTGGTTTTAAAAGAGATGAAATATGAGAATATTTATTGTAGGTGATGAAAAAAATGATAGACACTATCCTACAACTTGTTATCATTATAAAAAAAAATTGCAAAGGAGTAAATTGAGAATTTTAAAAACTCACCTTTCTAATGAATGTTTGCAATATCTTGAAAATATTACCAAATTTTAGTGAAATAAACTTTCTACTGAATTAACAAATTATACCTGTAAACAAAAAATCATAATTCAACTACCATTAAAACAATATCAAATAACTCAACACTTTGGCTCAGATAAACTTTTATCACTAGTTATAACTGAGCAAATTGACTGATCATTACTGAAAGCATGAGTAATAGCTGAAATTCCTTTTAAAGTAATTGATAACCCTTTTATTCATGATCTATTTTAAGAACTTAATCCAAGATACACTTCTCTATCGAGAACATTAGATCAAGAAGTTGCTTGAGTTTTTCTAAATATTGAAAAAGAATTATAATTCTTAGATCATCTAACATTAAGTAAATATTTGAGTTTTAATTTTTAAAAAATTTGTATTTTTTTATTGAAAATTATATTGTATATATTATTTTATTAATAAATTATTTTATATTTAATAAATTTTAATATTTAATTAATAAATATATATTTATAAGATCTATTATACTATTTTACTAACATTAAATGGGTGAATATCAAAGAAAAATAATTTATTATATAATTATATTATATTAATACTTATATAAAAAGAATATTTAATTGTCTTAAAAAATTATTTAGCAGAATCTCATATTGGTTTAATACTTGCTAATGAAATTTCAGATATTATAGAACAAGTTAGTTCAGAAAAATTTGCTGCTATCATTACTGTTATCATGCAATCTTTTCAGATTACAATTATTAAATGCAGTGTCAGAGGGTTGACTCTTTTATAGTTTACGTAATAATTTCAGTTAGTTTACAAGAATCTTAGCTAATTCGCTACCAATTTATCAAGTTAAATCAAGTTTATTAGATGTAATTGGCTTTAATTATAAGTTAAGAGTTATCACAGTAAGTTTGAGAAGAATTTTAAATAAGAAATAAGAAATACTTTATTGAAGTAAAAGAAAATAATAAGATAATAATATATAAAAGAAATAAGAAAAGCAACTAAGAAACAGAGATATACAAAGTGAAGAGTAGCGTTATGCTATCTTTTACAAGAGAGAGATTCTATACAGCTATCGGTCTCATCTCTTCAAATTGACAAAGAAGTTATATTTATATCTATTCTATTACATATTTTGATATATTTGATATATTAACTATGTTAACTATCTCAACTATATTAACTATATCTATTATATTAACTATATTAGACATATCTGATATGTTAGACATATTAGCTATATTAAACATGTTAGACATATTAAATATGTTTGACATTATTGACATTTGTATTTCGCCACACAATTGTAGATCTATGATCATCAAGATTGACATCCAGTTACATTACTGATATTGTATCAATATGTCATATAGTATAAGAAAAAATAAAGAAAATGTATCTTCATATTTAAAATATTAGGTATACTACATATGCTATTAATTTAATAGTAGCAGATCTTGTAAAACTTGATAAGATTCAAAAATTTATAGCAGATTGTGTTACAAAATTTTTTCATAAATCTTATCAGGCTTATTCTATATTATATTAAGGTTTAGCTCAAATGATGATTAAATCTAAAGATTTGCATATATAGATAAAAACTAGATAAGGATTATTATTTATAATGATAGATTATATTTTATGAGCATGTTCTGTTTTTGATTGGGTAAACATATATATATTTAATAAAATAAAATATTATTATTATTAAATTTTTAATTAATTATTACATATATTTAGATAATTTTTGAGTATCAGGATATTATTTCTGCGTAATTTGTTAGAAAATAAAGAATTTTACTACATGTCAGTATATTCGTTTAATTTAGACTTCTATTAAAAAATATATTAATATACTAGAATTAAATACAGCAACCTAGCTAATTGCTTTATTATATAATTAAGTTAGTAATAGCAATATATCAGTTACCTAATCTAAATCTATTCAAAATTCTAGCCATAAATATATTTAATATCTATTATATTGAATTTCAGCATTTAGCATATTTACTTTGTTATTTTATACATCTATGATATAGAGGTTTGTATAATTATATATTTTTTTTTTATATATTTAAATTTTATTATTAATATTAATTTACTTAAATAAATTGTGGATTACGTAATGAAAAATTCAGAGATACTACTTTAATTGCAACAAAATTATGACAAAGACTTGATCATAATAAGCAAGAAAGTTATAAATTAATTTCTCATTTATGTCGATTTGAAACTCATTTGATACTTTATAATCTACCTTATATTAAAAATATGGATACTTCTGAATTATAGTGAGGTTTTATTAAATATAATTCTTATAATTTTAGCTGAACTTGTACTTTGATTATTTAGAATAATTCCTTCTCAGTCTAGTTGTAAGCAAAATTTTTTGATATTTAAATGGTTAATTTATGATTGAAGAACTAGATTAGCAGTACAAAAACTTGAAAATATGACCAGTATTAGATCATATTATTTAACTAATATCAAATCTGAACTTTTATATTATAGTAAGAAACTAACAAATAATAATTAAAAGAAGTAGCAAATTACTTATTTATAAGAACAGTAAGAACTTTAGAATCTGATGAGAAAGAATTGGTTAATGATTTTATTATTAATAATTTGAATGTTATATCTTCTAGAGATACTTTAGTTTTAAAAGATATAATTGATCTCACTTTACCAATTTTTGATATTAATGATAATGAATTATATAGCAAAGAAAAGGATCAAAATAATATAATTTTATTCTCTGATATAGAATATAATCCAGAAAATTTGGTTAATTCTTTTCTTCAAAAAAATTTAAATTGATTTTTTAATGATTATTATATGTAATTTTTTTGGATTTGCTTTTAATAAATTTTGAAATAAAAATGAAATTAGCATATAAGTAATATGACGATATAAAATATAGAATATAATGTGACATTTAACATATTATACATCATATGACATATAATATAGCATATGGTATATCATACGACATATGTCATATGATATGGTATATAGCATATAAAATTTTAAATATATATATTATAACCTTTTTATATCTTATTAGTATTATAACTAAAGTTATAACTTATATAAATGTCTATATTTTTAATATTATTTATAATAAAATACATAAAATTGGATTTAAAAAAAAGTTCAAATTTGAGGAAATAATGCCTGATAATTATAGAGTTATTGTAAGAGCAAATAATAATATGATATTAGTAATTAAAAATATATACAAAATTTTATGTTGAACTTATGCTGAAGTTATACAATATAGAAAACAAAAACAAACTTAAAAATAATTATAGAAAAATGAGTTAGATAAAGCAAAATATTGTAAAAAAATTTGTTAATAATTGTATTATATATATGATATAAAAACTATCATTTTATCTCTTAGCTGTAAAACTTATTATTTGCAGGTGATATTTTATCTTGTATTCAAGTAAATATCAATTTATTACTTTTTTTTATAATAAGTATCATTTGTTCTTTTAAAATATTTCATTTTATATTATTTTTAATTTATTAATTTATTTATTTTTTTCTAAATTGATTTTATTGATTTATTGTATGATGCTAATGGGAAATTTAAATATATATGTTATGTAAAAGATCATATTACAAGATTTTTATGGGTTAAGGCTTTCACTTTGAAAAAATAATTGAAATTGCTGTATATCTTTTTGATCTTTTTCATTTTATAGAATCTTTTTCAACTATATTACAATCAGGTAATAGTAAGGAATTCTATGCAGAAGTAATTAAGGAATTAATTGAATAATAGTCACCAGTAAAGATTATAAATAGACTTTCTCAATATCCACAATCTCAAGGTCTAGTTAAATGCGCTAATAGAATTTTACAACAAAAATTAGGAAAGTGAAAAAGAATAATAGTCAAAATTATTGGTCTTTTAATCTTAGATTTATCATTTTAATTCATGGTGTCAATCTCATAAAAAACTATATATGAACTTATTTATAGATCTAAACTGCGTGATAATTGTACATTAGTTGATAATTTATTTGAAAATAGTATTCATGATGAAGAAAATATTCCAGATACTATACAAATATTTGATAATTATATTGAAAATTTAGATAATGATATATTATTTGAACAAGGTTAGATTCTTTTTATCATTTATTAAGACAAAAGTATTTTAAATTAATAATTTTATTTATTTTATTTTTTTTTAGATTTTTCAGTTTTGTTAGCACCATTAGTATCATCAGTACCAGCGGTACTATCAGCACTATTAGAACTATTAGCACTATCAGAACTATCAATATCATTAACACCGTTAGCACTATTAGTACCATTAGCACCATCAGTAATATCAGTACCATTAGCATCATCGGCAAAACCAGTACAGTCAGTACCAGTAGTACTGTCAGTACCATTAGCACCATTGGTACAATCAGTACCAGTAGTACTATTAGTACCATTAACACTATCGGCACAACTAGCATAATCAGTACCAGTAGTATTATCGGTACTATTAGTACCATCGGCACAACTAGCATAATCAGTATTAACGGTACTAGTTGTATCATCAACAGGTATTTATAAATACTTTATTTTTATTTATTGTTATATTTAATTTTTTATTTTATTACTATTAGTATTACAAACATTGGATATTATAATTAAACAAAGTATTTTTTATTTAACTAATTATTTAATCATAATTACATTTTAGATTTTCATCATCGCGTTATCGATCCTATTCTTCTCGATATTATAAATGAAATTACAATACCAGACACAATTACAGGACATGAAATTTTGAGAAGAACTGCTCGTCAAGGTCTTGAGAATTATAGAAATAAAATGATAAACCAAATGAACAAAAAGAAAAACAAATTATAGAACATCAGGTTGGAATCTTGTAAAGAGTAGCTATTCCTAAAATTGATAGATTTAGTATCGATCATCCTACAGTTCCATGTAGAATTATGAAAAAAAATTGAAGTTGGATCAAAGTTTGGAATAATTGAAGTCTGTTATTCTGCTGGTGGGTTAGAACCACTTGGAACAACATTTTTTCCTGAACTAGAAAATATTCCTTCTAAAAAAATATCAATAAGAGAAGCTTTACGGCTTCAAGCGTTGGATCAATATCAGGGGGTTTATGTAACTGTAAAAGTGATTGTAATAATAACAAATGTCGTTGCAAAAAATTGGATGAAAAATGTAGAAGTAGATGTTATAGCGGACGTTCATGTCAAAACAAAGATCAGGATTGAAAAATAATAGAAAGACGCAATACCGTTTTATATTTAGGTAAAATTTAATTTGCAAAGTGTTAAGACTTAACATAAAAACAATTGAATAAAATAGAAAATTTACAATGCTTTTTACGTTTTTACGCATAAAAGTTTTATTAATAAAAATTTATTTTATAATTATAAAATTACATTTTTTATCTTCTATTATATTAAAGATCTTGTTTTTTTGTTTTTTAAAAAAATTTGTAATATTTTGTTTTCAAAAAATAAAAACGAAAGTTTTCATAAAATAAACTTTTGTTATAATTGACTAAATGCGCATTTACTATAATTGACTAGATTGCCTAAGATTACAGCTGCGGTATCTCAGATGATCATTTGATTCAAAATACGCACCTGACGATTGTAATTTGAGGTGCGTCAGTTGTAATCTGAGGCAAGAATCGATTTGAGGCACAACAAATACAAGTTAAAAAAGTAAATTCGATTAAACAATTAAAACTCAACAGATAATGGGTTAGGTTGATGACTCATCCTACTGATATATTTGATATATTGTAAAGTTTTTATAATTTTTGATATTATATGATATTTATAAACATTGTTTTTTACTAATAGAAAGTCAACTTGAAATAATCATAATTATACTGAAAAACATTTTCTTGACGCTCGTTACCAGTGTTGGCAATTGGACCAATTGGACTTAGTAAAACTGCGCCACAATTAAATTGAACATATGACCTTTATATGTCCAATTGTCCAATTCATGAAATTGGAATGATAAAATTGCCAACACTGCTCGTTACAGAAAACATCCACTTATTTCTGCTGCTCTAATCTAAATGAAGGAGTTTGTTTTACAAGGTAAAATTAATATTATTTAATAAAAATATTGAATAATTAAATTTTTTGTATATATTATAATTATTCTTTATCAATTTCATGCGAACCAGTAGTAACGGATTTTGTCTAAAATAACAATATTCATAAAAAGATTAATAGTATTTCATTAAAAATGTCATTTACGCGTAAGAATCTTACCTGATCATGAATTTATAAATCCCCACTAAACGATCCGCTAGTTCAAAAATGTTATTACGTAACTAATAACGATAAATTGTGCATCCTTAGTTCGTTCTTTAATAATGTTAGCGACGATTGACACATTGCGAAAATCCAAGGCCGCATCAATTTCATCCATAACATATAAAGGTGTAGGTTTAAATTGGTGTAGAGCAAATACTAAAGCCAAAGAACTAAGTGTCTGTATTTTGACAAAATAAATATTCATTATGTCAAGTATAATTAAAATGAACGTTGGAAAACACACGAAATACCTTTTCTCCACCAGATAAATTCGAAATATTTTTCCAACTCTTTTTCGGCGGCATAACACTAAAATAATGCCTTCAGAAAAAGATAAAAAGTGACATTTAGATACCTGATACATTTCTTTGAGTTTCCGAGAAATTAAATTGAACCCATGCATGAATTCTTCCAATCGTTGCTTTCTTAAACGATCTTATTCCTTTTTACAATCATCACGCTTAGAAGTATTCTCTTCAAGCTCTCTAACACGTGACAAATACTCTTTCTCACGAATACGATAGTCTTCCAAAACACTTAGATTTGGGTTGGCATTTTGTATTTTCTCTGAAGAAATTTTTTTTTTAAAAAAATAAATATTAAATATAACGAATAAGAAGAATATAAAAAGATAAATTAGAATACCTTTAAGATCATCGATCTCTCCTTGTAATGTATCTTTGTCCATTGCATCGAGCTCATCATCATTGTAAATTTGAAATCCTTGTTCCTCATCACCTCTATTTATAAGGTTAATAAGATAAATGGTAGAATGAATATTTAAAAATATCATCAGCACGCTTACCTAATCTCATGAAGTGTAAGATTTCTAAGAGAATTTCGCCAATGAATTTCTTTTTGTTTATTTTCTATCAAAATGCGCTCATTATCTTCGAGCTGGTTTTTGATTTTTAACTAATACAATACACAGTGATTGGTTATAAAAAAATTTGACGTAATATTGAGAGAATAATAGTAAATTCAAATATAAACCTCAATTGTTCGAATCCGATTAATTATTTCGGTTTTTCATCAAGTTTTTCCTTGATCTCATCTAATTCTTCTTTTTTACTTTCCAATATCTGATAATTAGAAAAAATGTAGATAAGTATTAAATATATTTTTTTTTAATAAAAAGAGATTTAATTAACATTAGTCTGAAATAAATACTGATTCGGATTCATCGGCTTTAATACGAATTGAACGAGCAACTTCGGCTTTCTGTTGAATTTCTTTCGTAAGTTTTTCTATTTCATTATTTAATTCTTCTAATTCTCT